TCTTCCACTGTCTTTATTTTACTTTAGTTTGCTGGTGTTGACATTTTTTAGATGCACCTTTCTCAGTCTTACGTTGGGAATGGTTCTGCAGCTCCCTGTCCTTTGTGGTTGCTTGTCATGTAGTAAAATTAACTTGGGGCAAGAGGGAAGTGTTTATTTAAAAAAACAACAACAAAAAAACAGAAATTTTACAAAATAAAATGAGCAAAAAGCTGCAGAGCAGCAAAAATGGTAAGGTACTTGTATTTTCCTGTGGCCTGGGGAGAATATTCATTGATATTTGCAAGTCAGTTTTTACATAATGTAGTTTGTGACATCTGGAAATGATTTTCCCTTGCAGCTTTACAAACCTTGCAAGCATCTTGAGACTAATAACAAAATCTTTTTTAGCAAGACTTCCCTTGTCCTGCTTCTGTTCTTGCATCTGTTGTAGACTAGATGCACTTGCAGTATTCATGAATGCTTTCCCCTACAACTTCCTTCTTGAAATTTTAGATTTGATGGCTAAACCATGAATTTTCAATACTTGCTTCTGCATGTTTAGTTGCAAGTAAAGCTCTGAGTGCAGGTTTTCTCCACAGATGGAAGGGTGAGCAGCTTTGAAAGGTATAATGCTGGCTTTTCTTCATTCTGTGAATGAAGCAATGGACAGGTATTCAATTGCACCTCTGCAGATTTCTAGGAAACTTTCAGTGTTAGGAAAGCATGGCAAAAAGGAAGCCATACAGCTGTTCCAGCCCCCTAGATGTAGAGCTCCAAAATTCACACAGACAAGCTAAGGAGTGATAGGGAACTGCTTCTTGGCTCCTGCACCCAGGAGAGCCTAATGAGTGGTCAGCCTGCCCCCTCTCCTACTGGAAAAGAGCAAGCTGTCAGTGATCAGCCTGTGGCTGCTGAAAAGCAGCAGCTACCACAGACAGAACCCTCCTTCCCAGTCTGGCAGGAGTGGCAGGGAGAGGAAAACTTCTCTCTTCTTCCCTACCATGCCTGGTAGGGCTGCTGCCAGAGTCCTAGTTCTTGCCAGGACTTTTGCAGTGTTGTAGTAATTCCCTTGCCCTAACCTTAACACCATCCTGTGCGCATGTGCATTGTTGATTTGGCAGGGAGAGAAGGTTGGAGCAGTGCGAGAGGTCATTAGGGTTAGGGAATTCCCGCTGCTGCTTTGAACAGTCCTAGTATATCCCAGGATTGTTCAAGGTGTGGCAGGAATTGACTGATTAAAGTCTCTGGGAAAGCCAAGACCTGTTCAAGCAGCTGCAGCACCAGGGTCCCCACAGGGCTCCTCGACAACCCTCCCAATGGTGAACTGTCAGAGAGCTCACTGCTTTCCCTCCTCTTCCCACTTGGTGAGGGAGAATAGAGGACTGTAGGTATCAGGGGCATTACTTTCTGTCCTAGAAAACTTTATTCTTTGGCAAGCATTTACAGTTTGTGGTAGCATCTGTTTTTCCTACCACAAACCACTTAAATGCCTGGATGCTTGCTTTTTGTGCTGGGAAAGGGGTGTTTGTGTATTTTTGTTTTTGTCTTTACACTAATGCAACACCTGTCCATGGTCTGAGATGCTCTTAGCTGTTGAAAAGAAAAAATAGTTGAGGGGTTATAAAACATTAGTAATTTCCTTTCCGGTTTATAACCCTGCCAGGGTTTTTGGATGTCTAACTTAAAGGCATGAGATAAGAAAAATAAAATACTTGGAGGTTGTGATGGAGGGAAACTCAAATTATCTTTATAGTAATTATATCTCCAGTTCTCAAGTAAAAGTAGAGTTGTAAAACTTTATTAGGGTATCCGTTTTTGTGTGTGTAAATAGAGGTATTTGTTTTAGCTTTTGCTGGTGAAGTGGGAAATAGTTTTCCTGTTTTATACATTTTAAGTTTTTGAATGCAAGTCTAGGAAACATCTTAAATGTGTAGTGTAGCCTGTAAACTTGAATTGTGTTTACTGTCCAAAAGAACTTAAATCATGTAAATGATTGGAGCATCAAAGGACAAATGTACTTGAAAACAGCGTGAGACTATGGAAAAACAGCTAAGTGTTATGTTTAGCTTCAAATCGAATACACTGAAACAAAAGGATTTCATGTTCTGCATTCATATTTGTTTAAACCATTAGCTTGGTGCACCGGAGTAATTTTATTTCAGAAGTGTATAGAGCAAAGGCTCTTTTACCTTTTTCAGGCAGATTTTTTTAAACATAAAGTGGGCAACAGCGTTGTAGCTTTCATCTGAAAAATGAAGCTTGGTTATTTTAGGTCAGTGGTCACCAACCAGTTGATCTCAATCGACTGGTCGATCACGGAGCCTCTGACCATCAATCTCAGTCTGTCAGAGGCTCCACGATCAGGAGCTACAGGACATGTGCCTGGGCTGAGCCATGCCCTCTGCCACCTAGGCTGGGCTGGGTGAGTGGGGACAGAGCCTGGGCGACTTGGGTAGCAGGTGGAGGCAGAGCAGGCATGGGGGGTGTGGTAGATCCTGGGGTATCAAAGTGATCTTCACTATGAAGAGGTTGGAGACCACTGTTCTAGGTGGTTGCTGCATTAACAGGAGCTGTAGGGCCCACCAGTTCAGTTCATGTTCACATCCTGGTCAGGAAGCAGCATTTAAAGATTCAATGCTTCATTTAATATGAGATTGCTGACATTCATTGACTAAAATATTTTTTATTATATTCTATAGGTTTGATTGATTTTAAAAACATAGGCAGCTACCGTAGTAAATAATTTCAGTTTGTTTTGCAATGGCTGCTATATTCAGTGTTGGATATTCCAAAATAAAATATAAATAATTAAATATGTCCTGAACTCAGTGTTGGCTTGGTGGAAAGAGAGAGCGGTAGATTTTTTAACGGACAGTGTATTCTAGCACTGATAACTCGCAGACAAAGTTCTTTGGGTAAATGTGATGATCTTTTATTAGACCAACTAATTTGCTGGAAAAAATGTTATTTACGAGCTTTCAGGCTTAGGGAGCATCTACTGGTGTGTTGAGTGCTGTCTTGGGTGGGTGGAATAAAGCCAATATGTAAAATGCAGGTCTGTGAAAATGCAAATGCCTGGCAGCAAGGATCAGAGGGAAAGGGATATGGGTAGGTGGGGGAAGCTAAATGTGATGATCTTTTATTAGACCAACTAATTTGCTGGAAAAAATGTTATTTACGAGCTTTCAGGCTTAGGGAGCATCTACTGGTGTGTTGAGTGCTGTCTTGGGTGGGTGGAATAAAGCCAATATGTAAAATGCAGGTCTGTGAAAATGCAAATGCCTGGCAGCAAGGATCAGAGGGAAAGGGATATGGGTAGGTGGGGGAAGCAGGGAATGGTGACCTGGTGATAGAATGTAGCTAGTAAAATATAGAGAGGTTACCTGGGGTTATTGGATGGCAGGCAGGTTATAATGTATTATAATATATAACCAACACCCCCTGAGCACTGATAACTTGCATTTGAGAGTAATACCATGTGTTGAAGGAACCTGTGTTAAGGCCATGTGTTGAAGGACTTGGTTAAGCTGTTCCTGTGAGAGGCATGAGTATATTTAAAAAAATGTGTGTTGAAATCCTTCCCTGCTAGTTTTAGGGATGTTCATCAATTAGCACTAAAGGTAAATCTTTTGTTTTCACTTTTTCCAAGTTATTTGTAAAGAGTAATCTGTATAAAATCCTATAAGAAATGGGCAAGGTTGATGATCTACAGGGGTGATAAGTAAATATTTCACTTATTTTACAGTGCATGTGCATTTGTAAACATATCAGACTTCAAAATGGAAACCTAGAGATTTCAACATTTGATGGCATTTTCTTTTTTTTTTTTAATATTTAAAATGATTGCTTAGCTGCAGCTAACTTTGAATGGATAAAAACAGAAGTTCAGATTTCAGAACAGCATGATGCCCGTTTAGCAGCTTGTTGCTAGGAGCTCTGGGGTTAGGTTTACAAAGGTCTCTTTGTTTTTAGGTCTGCAGGGATCCCCAGGTTATAGTGGCTTTAGGTAGAACTAAGAATTCTTTTCAGTTCAGATATTCAGATAAAATGAGGAACTCAGTATTTAGCAAGACACGACTAAGTTGATGAAGCATCATGCAAACCCTGTAGCATTTCAACAGTGCAGGCTTGTTCTGAAATGAAATGTTCTTCATATTTAGGCAGCCTATATTTATCTGGACTTTTAATTTTTGCTTTGCATTTTGTAATTGAGTAGCCAAAAGGAAAAAGTTAAGATGCTTCCTCAGCCTGACGAAGGGTATTTGTACTTGAAAACTTGGAAAGAAGTATTTTTCCAACTATTTGAGTTGGTCTAATAAAAGATATCAGATTTACCAAAAGAACCTTGTCTGCCTATTACTCTGGAAAATACCTTCTTGTGGTGGTTTAAAAGTCAAACAAAAACTAGATGGTGCTGTTTGAAAAACGCCTGGTATCCTGCACCTTTAGATACCTGCTTTAGGTTACTTTTATGTGGGTTTTTTCACTATCCATCGTTCATTGCCAAAAAAGACCATGAATAACCAGGTAATTTTCTCTCCAACAGACTGGAGATTGAGTGTTTTTACTGTTTAGCTATGGAACCACAAAAGAGTACATTTCTTCAAGAAGCTCTTCCTAGCAGCAGACCATCAGTACAGTCTTGATGGTCACTACCCTTTAAAAGCGTTGCAATATGATTTGAAACAAGAATTGAGCAACTAACCTAATAAATATGAGAAAATAAAAGTGGAACATAGGCATATTAAGATTATGTGGCTACGTAGGTTAGCTCTTGGGCAGCATCCGGATTTACTCATAAATTGGGATTCCTCTTGAAGCTGGGTAAATTTTTAATTTGGTAGGATGGGTATTGTAGCACAGGGGCATGGTTTTGATGTTTTTAAAATGATAAATTAAAATATCAGTTCCTTGTCTTTCCCGCAACTTGGTCAGCTTCAAATTAATCTGAAAACTATGTGCTTGCCTCTTAGATTAATGGGTTATATTCGTTATTGTACGTCTTCTCTGTTCTATAGGTTGAGATAAAAATGAAGAAGCCAGAGGCCATAAGATGGGAGCAGCTGGAGGGGCAGGGAGATTCTCCTAAGTTTAAACAGTTTACACCAGGTTTGTTTTCTGATCTCATTTATCTCTTAATTGAAAAGCAAATATTTTGCTGTTTTTTCTTTTTTTCCCCCAGTTAAAAAGAAAATCTTATGCGTATAAAATATGGGGAATAATAGGTGTGTCGCTGCATGTATGAAGATGTAATTGATAATCTAACTTCGTGAATTGTCGGGTAGTAGGAATAGATTCTGATTGGCAGAACGTAGAGGTGCACTGATACATCAGACTGTATCATATCAGCACTGATAAAAGGCCTGTGACATTATCAGCAATTGGCCTTTTTTGGCCAATGTGGCCGATTTAAATGCCACATGCATATATGTAGCCAGGAGTGCAGGCCGACAGCATGGAGAGCAGCGTCTGGCTGGTAAGTCTGGTGGGAGGGAAGAGGTGGGCAGATTGAGGCCCCTGCGGCGAGGGAGGGAGTGGAGCTGCCTCTGCACAGCTGGGCTGCGGGATGGATCTATGGCTTGTTGGGGGACATGGGGTGGGGGTGGCTCCTGCCACTGCATGCACCCCTGGGGAGGCATGAGGGACATGTGCCCCCAGGATCCGTGCATGGGGCAAGGGCGGGCTGCGGCAGGTGCTGCTGCTGCTGCTATGTGCTCAGGGCTGGAGGCTGCACTAGGCGCTTCATGGTGAGGGGGTTGGGCTGGAGCTCTGCTTCTGAGGTGGCTGAAGCCGCCTCCCCCAGTGCTGCTGCTGCCTGCCCTGAGTACAGCCACGGCTCAGCCCCTGCCAGGAGGAGCCTGGTGTAGCCTTGGGCCCAGAGCACATAGTGGCAGCCCACCCTCACCCTGCACTCACATCTGGGGGGCATGTGCCCCCTGTGCCTCCCCCAGGGTGTGCGCCATGGTGGGGGGCGTGTGTGCACGCAAGTGAAAAAGCAAAACAAAACAAAAAAAACATACCAATGGAAGCAGAGGAGAGCAAAGCATACCAGATACGTATATATGACAACTGTGAAAATGAAAGGTGAAAGGCATTTTTAGATGGTACAAGAAAGCAGGAAGGAGTAATAAACTTATATATACTCTTCCTGCTTTCTTGTACCATCTAAAAATGCCTTTCACTTTCACAGCTGTCATATACATGTCCAGTAGGCTTTGCTCTCCTCTGCTTCCATTATTATCTAACATACTATGTAGCTTAGTTTTTCTTGTAAATCAACCTCTCTAGTCACCTAATGTGGCCTACATTTTCTATAGTTTACCTCCCAGGTCTTATGAGGTACTTAACAGAAAATTAGTGTTCTCTTTGCAGCCTCAGACTTGCAAAACTTTTGGTTGTCACCTGGCTGACTCATGTGATGCTTCTGGCATATTTAGCCCCACATGGCATTTTTTTCCCTGCCATATTCATTGATAACTCAACTCAGTTAGTTTGACCCCTAAAATGACTTATTCAGTGTCATAACTTCCAGATTTTTTTTCTTTCCCATTGGATTTATTCAATTTCAAAGCCATGGTAACTTAGAGAGATCATTTAAGGCTTTGATACAAAACCCAGTGAATAGAAAAACTACCATTGACTTCAATGGCCATTGGATCAGGTCCTCAGTTTTTCAGAAAAAAGTCCCGGCACTGGTGTTTACCTTGTGATACATCCATAGACACTAAATACATTGCCACTTCATCTTTTGTTTCTTTAGCTGTTGTTTAAATCTATACATTGTGAGTCTCTTTCAAGCTGTTTTAATTTCTAAGGTAGGCTCATTGAGGCTTCACTAATATCCGTTTTCTCTATTCCCTTCATTTTCTAATTTTAAAACTGTCACCAAATTTTGTCTGGCCACATTTTTCTTTATAGGTTCCTGCTGCTACTTGCTCACTATTGGGGAGGGGATAACTATTTCATGTTTTAGATATTGCCAATTGATAGTCAACTGATTGCACCTTGTTTCCAGACTCCAAACACCTATATCCATCATCTTCTCATTATACAAGGAACTGGGATCAACTAGTGGGTGAGATCAAAGAGGAGGAGAAGAATGAAAAATTAGAGGGAGATGCAGCTTTAAACAAACTCTTCCAGCAGATCTATTCTGATGGTACCGATGAAGTGAAACGTGCCATGAACAAATCTTTTGTAAGACCTCAACTTCTCCTAACATTTTTGTTTGTTTTTTATACTATTCATGCAGCCAGGGCCGCCCCTAGGGGGTGGCAAATTGGGGTGACCGCCCTGGGCTTTGGGGAGCCACAGCGACTCCGTGCCACAACTGCCAGGTTTACGTCCAGCTGCTTGCTGCCGCCGCCCCCTCCCCCCCGGCTGCCACTGCAGATGGTCCAGGGCACATGGGATCAGAGCGGGGGCGGGGCCCCGCATGGGCTGATTTGCAGCGGGCTCCACACCCTGCTTGGGTCAACTCTGCATACATCAGATCATCTTTACCATGCTGGCATATATAACAACTGCAGAGGCAAAGTGACATTTAGCCTGCAATTGCTATTAGAACTTGCGTTTATGAGCTTGTACATTTTATCACAAGATTTTTTTAAATCTGCATGTAAGTTTCTGGACATTAAAAAGTTGGTCCCTAAGTTTGTGAAAGTGGACCTGAATCGTACAATGATATTGGTACAGTGGCAAGGAGTTCTTCCTGTACTTCCAAGGAATTTTATTGCTGTAAAATTTTAAATCTTCATGTTATGTTTGGACATGGAGAGCAATCTCCATGTTCTGTTCTTGACCACTGCTGCGAGCATTTGTTGGCAATGAGAGCAGCTTGCCTTTTTCGGTTAGTCCTACGAATCACAAAGGTCTGTTGGATTGGCCAAAATGAGGGCCTGATTCTTCCATGTAAATTGTCACACTTTTTTTTAACAGAAGTTCTGGGGTTAGCAGGCATAAATGATCAAGCCTTCTGCAGCTGCTTGTTGTTTAAGAATTTTCATTCAACTGCCTTCTCCACCAATAAAATATGTTGGGCTTCAGTTCAGAAATAACTGCTTCAGAACTTGTGTGTGCACATTCCTTATTTAATTCAAGATGTTTTAGTCTAATTGCTCAGACTGTAGGGAAGTGTTTTAGAACTTCTGCAGAAATTTAGCTGCTGCAGAACTGCAGGTTCTCTTAAATTTTTGTTGTATCTTCAGCTAACTAAACAAATACTACTTTATATTGCAGATGGAGTCCGGAGGCACCGTTCTGAGCACCAACTGGTCTGATGTAGGAAAAAGGAAGGTAGAAGTAAATCCACCTGATGACATGGAATGGAAAAAATTCTAATCTGTGGACTTGACATCTGTATGTTGCCTATACTCACATACTGACCATTGTGTATGGATTTGAAGCACTGAACAATCCCATGAAGATTAAGATTTATCACCTTTTGCATTTTACATGCTTTTCAGATTCCAATGTCTGCAGGTATTAAAGGTATAATCAGGAATGGAAGCATATTTTTCATCATTTCTATTCATTAAATGTTTTTTGGAAGTAGATTGACTTAAATCACAATGCACATTTTCTACTAGCATTATTGGTTCTGTTCTCTAAGGATGGGGAGATCTTTAATGGGCTGTTTAGTATTATTGCCTTATTTTTAAGCCCAGTATTCCTGTTAAATAATTTATTAGATCTGGCAACTTTGGGTAAACATGCTTTTCAACTACAATGTTAAAATTATTTGCTCTTAACATGGCTTATGAATAAAAACGTAAATATATTTTTTCTGTAAAGAAATTGGTTCATTTCATTTTAGCTATATGATTTTAGATTTGGGGAAGAAAAACAATAACATCAGAACACATTTTGGAGAAATAATGGCCAAGTACATCAGATACTTAAAAGATTTGTTCCAATTATATAGGAATACGCCTTCCACTCTGCTGAAAGAAGAGCGAGGTTGTCATTCTTGGGGCAGGTAAGGAATCATAAGGCAGGAGAATTTGAGGATTTTTTAGGATTCCCTGCTGTTATCCTTCTCTGTAGGTGCAACTGCAGCAACACAGGATATAGAGAGAGGTCAGTTTATGGTTAATTACCTCTTCACTGTAGAATACACATGCGTTAAATCTCTATTATCAAGGGGTCATTACTACTGACTGCACGTTATGTTGACACATTGAGACAAGATCAAATTCTGCTTTCTTATTTGATCCGATGGCAGCGATACCTCTTAAGAAAAAGGAAAAAAGTACATCATGCTGCTGGTTCATTCTTGCATGGAATGGTGCTGATAAGCTTTCACGGTGTATAAGCTTGGACCTTAATATAAGCAGGGGGAATTGCTGCCACCTCTTCCTCTTCTAGTTTGGGAATATTGAAGTCCAAATAATTTCACTTCATTAGCTTCCTTTTTGTGTACTGACAGCTACAAATTGTCTTGGTTTCTATCTGCAAGAGCCTGAGATGAAAGTGTTTATAGAGTAAAATTAGATTAAATCCTACTTTCTTGATGTAGAAATAACTTGCAGTTGTTTCTGTTCTGCCAGTCTGAAATGACAGACTATGAGCAAGTGGCTCAATGTGGAATTGGGTTTTGCTTAAGTCTAATCAATGCTATTGTTACCATTTAGCCTCTAGCAACCTTCCAAACAGTCAAGCTTATAATTTTCTTTAAGTTTAGTTGTTAAATGAGTGTTTCTATTAACAGTTCTTGTTATATTTGATTTTGCTATTACAAGTTGGATCTGCTTCAGGTAATACGTTAAGATCAATGGCATTTAATGAAATGGGTCCTGAATTACATAACTGAAGATTTTTGCAAAGATTTATTGTGTGCAGTCTAATGGTGGAATATGTCTGTTCCCTGTACATATTACCAGGACATTTGCAAAAGTTTAAACAATGTGACCCCACCCTCTTGAATTTCAGCTGACTCTTCTTCCTTTTACTAAGCCATCTCGTTATAAATATCATTTCTTTACTACTTGAAATGCATAAATATGCTTACTTTTTAGAAGTGAACACAAAACAATTTTATATTCAATTATATGTACTTCAGTATAGCTCAGTTTTATTTTGCTTATCTGTTCAGCTTTAACATTTATAACTGTTGTATGAACATCAGAAGAAACTTGCTTCTCAATGAAGCAATTTGTAAGTCCTTACTCAAGAAGCCATTGCTTGATATGGTTATTCTTGTCAACCAGTGTTAGCTGTTAATCTTTGGGAGGGGAAGTGGGGAGGGCATAGACAAAGAAACCCCATTCAGTATCAAAATCCTTGGATATCCTTGACCCAGGTGGTTTTTAATTCTGTCACATCATAGTACTTAGGGTCGGAAGGGACCTAAACAGATCATCAGGTTCGACCCCCTGCCCCGGGCAGGAATGGGTGCTGGGGTCATATCACCCCAGCCAAATATCTGTCCAGCCTCCTCTTGAAGACCCCCAAGGTAGGAGAGAGTACCACCTCACTTGGGAGCCCATTCCAGAGCCTGGCAGCCCTAACTGTAAAGTAATGTCTTCTGATGTGCAGCCTGAACCTTCTCTCTAACAATTTGTGGCCGTTAGTCCTAGTAACCCCGGGTGGTGCCTGGGGGAACAGCCTCCCCCAATTCCCGCTGGTCCCCCCTGGTGAGTTTGTAAACTGCCACCAGATCCCTTCTCAGCCTTCTGTTGTGGAGGCTGAATAGGTTCGGGCCCTTTAGCCTCTCTTCGTAGGGCCTGCCCCACTGTCCCTTGACCATGCGAGTGGCCAACTGTGACCTGACCGATGCCACATAGAGGTGAAGGATCACCTCCCTGGACCTGCTTGTGATGCATTTGTAGATGCATGACACGGTGCGGTTAGCCTTACTGACCGCTTCCTTGCACTGGCAGCTCATGTACATCCTGGAGTCAACAATGACTCCAAGATCCCTTTCTGCCACTGTGTTGACAAGAAGGGTGGTTCCCCAGCCTCTAGGTGTGTTGCTGGTTCCTTCTCCCTAGATGCAGCACCTTGCACTTGTCTTCGTTAAATTCCATCCTGTTCTCATCCACCCACCTTGGTAATTTGTCTAGATCTAGCTGGATTCTGTCCCATCCCTCCAGCGTGCCCACCTCGCCCCACATGCCTTAATTGTAAATACTTCTGAGAGATGACAAGTGTTTGCTACAGTTGTTCAGAAAAAAGTAGGGAAGACATCATGCTGTTTCATTCAGAGTTGTCTTGAAACTGAGACTCTATCCATTTCCCAAAAGCACCATCCATTGCTTCAATGGAAAATGTAAGAAGAGCAGACTGGCTTAAATTAGACTTCTCCGTCACTGCAGTGCCATTGTTTTTTTTTCACTTGGACAGAGCTACTGCTTGAGTACTTAAAAATAAATATTGAACATGATAGTAGTAAAGAGAATTATATATTTAAATGCCCACATAGGACATAAACTTGTTCATTAAGTTGCCTTCCTGCATCCATTGAAGTTAAATCTTTGCTTTCATTTAAAACCTTTCCCCCTAAGCCTTGTTTCTTGCAAAGGTAGCATTGAAATTATATATTGATGGCCATGGTTAAAAGGAACAAGTAAATTTGGTTGCTTTTCCACAGAAGCATATCAGAATATTCCCTTGCTTTCTATAAAATAGGTCATATCTCAATGACATGAAATGAGATATGTCTCCAAAACACTCCAACAACTCTTCAGAGTTCTTGGGCAAGTCCAATGCATTGGGATGCCATTAGAGCAGATGAGGAATTATCCTATTTAGAAGCGACTGCATCTGGAAGCTTTCCTTGGAATATTATGGTGGTTTGACTGCTCCAGAATCCTAAGCCCTCACAAGTTGCTTACTTTTGCTGCTAAGAGTGGCTTTTCCTTGCTTCCTCAGTGCCTCTAGATGGCTTCTGCACTTGAAAAACCATGTTCTGACAACTGATGCCAGTAGTACTGCCAACAAGCAAACCACTGCTTGGAGTCTCTTTCTATGATTGGTCTTGAAAATTTGGTAGCGTAAATGGGGAGATCTCTAGTGACCACATCCCATGGTATGAAAATAATTGGTGAAACTGCTATGGCTAATCAAAAGTCTTGACAGTTTGAAATGGAAGATGGATTTCTGACTAAACAAAACTTTATGAAAAGAATATCTGATTTCTGTGGAAAAACGTTTCCTCTGAAAATGCTGTTTTACATAGAAAACTTCTACAGGGCAAAGAATTTGGGGCAGCTGTGACAGCTTGGACTTGAGGGTAAACCTTTGGTTTTTAAAATGCTTTTCACATACACCCACCATTCAAAAGGAAACCTATCTGAAGGGAGCTGGTACACCCAGGTCTGGCAGCAGCTGCTGTCTGGTTGTTCAGAATTATTTGGGGAATCCAAAGGCACAGGTTGGAAACTGGAGCCAATTAGAAGCAACCTCAGACCCCTCATAGAAGGGATGCCAATGCAATCTTACTATTTCCTTGTTTGCTCTCTGTTTTGTAACCCAGTTTTATCTGGATGAGTCTAACTTTCCATTTCTAAGTACTTGGAAGAGAAAAAAAGTGATCAGGAATAGTCAGCATGGATTCACCAAGGGCAAGTCATGCCTGATCAACCTGATTGCCTTTTATAATTAGATGACTGGTAGCACTGTGCGAAGCTTTGGTCGCTGATTCGATTTGGTGGAGATTTGGCCCGATTCAGTGGCTGAATCTCCAAATTGAATCAAATCGGAACCCTCCGAATCTATTCAGAGAGATTCGATGATTTGGACACGGACATGGCTTTTAAATGTTTTTTTTCTACATACCTCAAGGTACCAGGCAGCTCGTGAATGCTGAGATGCTGGGGCAGATGGAGCGTCCCACGGGAGCATGGGGGGGTAGGGAAGAGGGTGATGGTCCCCAGTGTGCTCTGAGGCACACCTGGAAGTGGACCACAATCACCTCCACCCTGGCTTGGTGACTGGTGCCTCCTGGGTCTGGGGGGGCACCTGGGACCCCCCACAGCTGGTTGCTGAAGTGGGGGTGTGTGTGGGGGAGGGGTCCCCAGGGCACTTGGCAGTGGACCCAGAAGTGTCCACTGGGTTTGCAGCCAAGCACACGTGTCGTTGTGTGTGTCGTCTGCCCCCTCCCCCCCAGCACATCTGTGCGACATTCCATCTTCCCCAGCATCATAGCGTTCACGAGCTGTGCCTGGTACCTTGAGGTATGCAGAAAAAATGTTTAAAGCTGTGTCTAGTTGAATAGCTGATTCTCCGATTCACTATCGAATCTTCAGGTTTGGAGTTGGCCAAATCGAATTGGGGACAGTGATCCGAATCAACAAACTGAATTACTGTGCCCGATTCGGGCCGAATCTGAATTGAATATGACCCATTTCGCACACCCCTAATGACTGGCTCTGCGGATGTGGAGAAAACAGTGGATGTGATATAGATATACCTTAACTTTAACAAGACTTTTGATATGGTCTCCCACAGCATTCTTGCAAACAAGCTGAGGAAATATGGGTTGGATGAATGGACTGTAAGTTGGATAGAAAGCTGGTTGGATTGTTGGGCTCAATGGATAGTAATGGCTCAACGTCTAGTTGGAAGGTGGTATCAAGTGAAGTGCCTCAGGGGTCAGTTCTGGGGCTGGTTTTGTTTAATATTTTCATTAGTGATCTGGAAATGGGATGGATTGCACCCTAAGCAAGCCTGCAGATGACACCAAGCTGGAGTGTGTAGTTGATGTGCTGGAGGGGGAGGGCTAGTTTTCAAAGTAACCTAGACAAATTGGAGGATTAGGCCAAAAGAAATCCCATGAGG